GCTTACGGTCTTGTAGTAGTCTGCGGTGCATCTGAGCTCCTCCAGCCCGTGGGCAAAGGTGCAGTTCTCATCGTTGCACTGACCCTGATCCATCGACACAGACAGACAAGAGAGAAAGGCACGGCCGTGAGCAGAGAGAGACCCATCAGCCAAAGGCTCCTTGCTGCCCACGCCGCTCCACTTACCCGCTCCCAGTTCTCGCAGAGCTTGGTCTTGCGCAGGTCGGGAGGTGCCCTGATCTCCGCCTGGCTGTGGGCGTAGGTGCATCTCGCCCCCTTGAGACACTTGTTTTCAGCTAGGTAAGGACACAACTTGGTCTGCACACACACACAGGCAGACAGAGAGAGAGAGAGACGCACACAAGCGAAGTGGTGGGTGGATGGATCGATGAGTGTGGCTAGGCACGCTCCACTCACTTTGAAGAACTGGTCCGCCATCACATCAGAGTGATATCGTTCGCTCGGTTTCGTTCACACAGCTGCACACAGGCGCACACACAGACAGACAGACAGGCAGACATGAAAAGGCGGTCTCGTCATGTGTCATGCACAGAGCTCGTGTCACAGAGCTCGTGTGTGCCCTCCCCTCCTCTCAGCCTCTCTCCGACTGCCCTACGAGCCACATCTCTGCCCGTCCCCGGCCTGCCTGCCTGCATATCTCCCTGGCTGCATCTCATCTCGCTGACCCATGTGTGTGCTCCCTGCCTCCCGCCCAGCCATCGATTCGATGGCCACCATCTGCCCTGCCTGACCTCGTGACGTGTGTGTGCTTAGTCCCTTTGCTCACTTTAAGAAGATTTCAATCGCCTCTGTTCCTCTTGTTCGCTTGGCAGTCTCTTCCGGTTTTTTGCTTCTTCCCAACCTGTGACCGCAGGTCAGTAACCTTCAGTGGTAAGGGTTTGGACCTGAACACGCGATTCTCGACGCAAATCTGCGAGCTAAGCCAACAGCAAAAACGACGGGATCCAAGGACGCTGTTGACCGGCAAGCACGTCAGCATGCTGATGGACGGCACGGCACCCACACACGTCTTCAAATTGCACTTGAGGCCGTCATGGGTTCAAGGGTTTGGACACTCGGTTGTTTCAGTGTGGACACTTTCCTTTGCCCCGAAAGTCACACATACATCCGCGGATGCACGCGTCTACACGTTTTCACAACCAGCCAGCCAGTCCCTCCCCGCCCACCCACTCATCTAGGTCATCTGGACATCCTCCTGGCCACCCTGGCCACCCAACCTCTCCCCGCCTGTCTGCTCCCTCACTGCAGCAGGCGCCGACTCTTGCCCAGATTGCCCCGATGCAGCTGCGTGATATCTGTCCATGAAGGCCTGGTTCAGCACTGCTCGGTGGTCGGGGCCCGACACTCTGAGAGACACACACACACAAACAAACACACCATCAACAGGATGGGTGAGAGACTGCCTGCCTGCCTGCCTGGGTACCCCTGTGGCTTTGGCTCTTCGATTCGCTTGAAGATCTCAGTGATCTCTGCGCGGTAGTCCTCGAGATGGGACGGATCGCTGCACATACACACACACGTCGTCCATGCATCATTCAGTTGTGATGGAGAGAGAGATCCTGTGCCGTGCCGTCCTCCTCTCCCTTGCGCACCAGTGTTGCAGCACATTCAAGAGAGCAAGGTTGGCATCCGCATCGTTGACCTCGCTCCGCAGCAGACACAGCGATTCAACCAACTCTTCACCAGCTGCACCGCACCAAACACACACACGAAAGATAGATAGCTGATCAGTCAAAGTGTGAAGTGCGGCCGGCCTCCTCTGCTCACCTTTCCTGACCAGCTCCCTTAGAGCCTTCTGCGCGTCCATCATGCCCTTGCGCGCCTCCCTCTTGGCCTCGCCACTGTCGGCCATGCTCCCTTCGCCCCCAGCTGCAGCACTAGCAGCACTGCTGGCCCCCTGCTGCTGCTGCTGCTGGTCGTCAGTGATGGCGTCGTCGTCACACTCGCCGAATATGGTCAGCAGGAGCACTGTGGAGGTCAACTTGAGGTCGCTGCTGCCCGCACCTGACCTGGTCAATGGGAGAAGACAATGGTCAGAGAGGCCTGTGTGTGGGTGGGTGTGGGTGTGTGTGGCCGAGTACCTGATGAATGCCTGGTAGCACAGCCTGACGAGCTTCTCTGCCACTCTTGGGGGACACCTGGTGAGGCAGAAGTAGTTATCGAGGCACCGCAAAAGCGCCGCCACAGCCACCTCACTGACACACACAACATACACATAAAGGAGAGGAGAGGCATATATGTGTCGTTCATTCCATTTCTGTGCGCCATGGCTGTGCTGTGCGTGACCACGTCACGGATCGCATCAACGTCCGTACCTGGGTCGTGTGAGGTATTCGACGAGCTCTTCGTCTTCGTCCCCCTCGGCAGGACCCTCTTCCTCCAGCGACCTGCATGCCATGCAGGACATCCACATGTGTGTGGTGCATGTGTCGAGATGAGATAAGATGCGATGAGATGAGATGTGTGTGGCCGCCCTTTCGCACTCACATGGATGGTCCTTTGTCGAGCAGGTCCTCCAGCCTCGTGACACAGGCGTGGAGCAGCTCCTTCTGCTCCAAATGATACGGCAAACGCTGAACATGTGAAACGACAGCCACCACACAGATGCGTCACCAATCCGTGCCTTCTGCTCCTCTCCTGCCCCGCATGCCCCACGCACTGACCGATAGGTTCGGGTAGTCCTTGGCGGTGTCGCCTCCCTTGTCTGCCCCCTCCTCGACCTCGCCCATGGCCGCATCGCCGTTGCCACCGCCAGAGCTGCCTTGCTGGCCGCCAGCCTCAGCAGCGGCGGCCAGCTGTGACGCTAGCCTTCTGAACTCAAAGTGGGTGACCACCAACTGGCTGAAGAAATCACACACCTGCAGAGGCAGCCAGGGAGGCCAACAGAGTGTGCAGTGCAGTGGGGTGTGTCAGTCATGTGTCGTGTGTCGTGTGTGCGGTCGGTTGCATCAGTCTCGTCTACTTGCTCGATGAGGAACGGCTTGAGTGAGTTTTGCAGCACGAATATGGCCTGGTGGATGACGGCCTCGTGCGCTATGTGGTTGGCCACCCAGCGGAAATCGCGGCTGTTGCGCACCTGGATTGGATCGGCACACACCGACCGACGTACCACAGCATCTGGACATCAGATGTGCTCACTTGAAGCCCCTGCTGGCCCTGCTCCCTCCCTCCCTTACCATGAGGAGGTGTGTGTACATCCTGAAGACCTCCTTGAGTGTGGGTGCGTCGTCGCTGGGCAGCAGTAGGAAGGTCACCTCGAGCAGCTCGTTGACCGACGAGTGGTTCGACAGGAACTCATCCACAACACGCCGATGCGTGAACAGATTCGCCGCTATACCCATACAGATCTCCTGCACACACACACACACAGGTATGCAGGCCTCTGCCTCCCTCCTCCGCCAGCTCTCTAACAGACTGACCGTCATCCTCCCCGGCTTTCTTGTGCGATGCACGACAAGGCAGATGAGTTCGAGGCACTTCTTGGACGCCAGGAAGACGGCCACATCTTCCCTTGCGGCGAGGTCCCATACGTCGCAGCACTGCTGTTCGAGGTGCGGAGAGATGTCCTCGTCGCTCACGCCCGTCGCCGCCCCGTGTGTGTGGCCGGGCGACTGGTGAGGCTCTTGGCAGCACTTGGAGTACCTGTCCACCAAGGCCACTAGCACCGACAGCAGCTCACTCTCGTCAAACACTGCAGAGCTATCCATCACTGCATCAATCAATAATACACTGCAGTCAGGAAGCTCCCCGAAAATAAGAGCTTCCTCTCCCTTGAGCATTGCCCTTGAGCTCGCACTGAAGGCGGGAAAGGAGGAAAATGGGGAATTTGGTGACAGTGCCCAGCAGCCGGCAGGCCGTCCCGCCGGCCAGAGGCGAAGAGCAAATCGATTTCATCCACAGCCTGGGGCGGGATGCCATCCACACACTCGAGGACATCGGCATACTCAGATCCACGGCCGCCTTCCTATCGCAGATAGACTTCTCGGCCGCCGTCCTCCGCAATCGGCTGGGGCGCTGCCTGGCAGCCAAACAGCTGGACGGCATCATCGCATTCGATTTGCAGCTGGAGACCAAGCTCGTGTTGAAGGCCATCTGGCTGGTGGACGCGCAGCAGTGGGCCGAGGTGGCCAATGCGCTGCGCTTCGCGCGGCAGAGGGGCTTCTGTCAGCTGCCCATCACAGTCGCTGTGGCCGACCTGCAGCGTCACGATAGCAAACAGGTGGGCAGATGAGCGCGGGGCGGGGCGGGGCGGGGGGGGCACTCATCGGTCTGTCTGTCTGCCTGTCTGTCTGTCTGTCTGTCTGTCTGTCTGTCGTGTGGTGTCTGTCTGTGTAGGCGTATTTGGCCGATGTGCGTGTGATTGCGTTGTGGAAGATGGTCGGCCGACACGTCAACTTCGGCGGCAGTAGTGGCTACAGCCGTTTTAAGCTGTTCGACCAGCCGGGCGGCGGTGTGTGTGCCATCAAGGACGAGCCGGGCTTCGAGCTGGACATCAACCCGCCCCTCCCCCCCGCCCACCCATTCCACACACACACCATCAATGACAACCCCCCCGTCAGATCCACAATCAGCTGGCAGGGGGGCAGCTGGACGGCCGGTAATCAGGTCTCCACTCATGCCTCGGCGTCGGCGAAAATCATGGGGGTCGTTCTGGCGGTCCCTCCAGCGGCCAAAAGGGGCACCACTCCATGGGCCTACGTGGACCGGTATGCAGAACACACGACACTCGGGCAGACACTCATCCATCCATCAGGGCCTCTTCCCTCTGCTCTGTGTTGGTCTCCTCAGCCATGCTCACGGCGGTGTGCTGGACGGCCTCCTCAACCAGTCGCCCCACCAGCCCCCCGACCGATGCACCGCCGTCATGGCGGGCAGGTTGGACTATAGGGTTCCCCCTGGTGAGATTCGGCATCTGCTGCTGACGCCGTTCGACAGCCCATTCGTCGCATTTGTCGTTCTCGCCACCCACGCCAACACGGACACAGGTAGGGAGCGGATAAGAGTTCTTTTGGTGATGGAGCCGTCCTTTGACGTGTGCTGTCGCTGTATGCAGTGGGTGTGTGTGTCGTCACCACCGAGCCGCCAGTGGGTGATGCATATGATGCCTTCAAGGATCGCCGGCCTACCACCGCCCCTCTGGTGGGCGGCCCGCTGGGCAGCACCATCGCAGATATGGTGGTCAACCAACAGGAGGAAGCCATCGATGAGGGTGAGTGTGCAGCCGACCGCCTCCACCTCGGTCTGTCGGTCGGATGAATCGGTGTGTGTGTGGTGGTGTGCAGAGGAGGGTGCGGATGACGACGATGGCGATGAGGGTGAGTGGGATACATGTGTGTGTGTGTGTGTGTGTGGTTGGGCCCATTTGTATGTTTGCGTGTCTTGAGTGTGCAGATATGGATGGCGACATCGACGGAGGGGGCAATGGCGAGGGCGATGGCCAGCAGGAGGAGGATGAAGAGGGTGAGATGGGGGCAGGGGAGGAGCCAGATCAGAGCGACACACATGCACTCCTTGTGTGCGTCATGTCATGGCTGTGATGTGTGCCTCAATGTGTCAGGTGAGGGTGTGGAGAGGGAGGCCAAGAGAAGGAGGCTGGAGGACAGCTAGATGCCACGGCACCGAGCCAATGGCAGAGACCAATGTAGCTCTAACGGACGCATGCACTAGCTGCATGATGGCTGTATGTCCTTGGTGAACACGGATGTTCGTGTTGCCATAGATGGCTCGTACGCGTGAATGTGCATGAGTGCTGTCAGTACATTCGAATTCATGCCCATGTCCAAACAGCTGGCTGACCCATGCATCTGTCTCCGCCCATTTACCCATTGCACAAGATGTCAAGGTCGAACACATCATCACAACGGAACCCATGCAGTATGCAAGTTCATGGCTACTCTGCCTGTCAGTCTTGCAGCAGCGCACTGTCTGGTTAGTCATGCACATTCACTCATTGCTTCTGCGCCCGCGGATGTCAACAAAGGGCAACAAACAAGAAGATGGAGATGCGCCTGGCCTCCGAAGACCTCCAAAAACGGGGCAGAAGCGCCCAGATCAGCCGGTCCAAGCTCGCATGCGATGAGGAAAGGAAGAAGAAACCAGCGCATTTGAAGGGCTCAAAGGGACGCTTCTACTATGCTTTTGGCAATGATGAATGCGTCCCTGCTCCTCGTGGCTCTTCCCCTTTTCATTCGCCCTGTGTGGTGCTTTCATGGCCTCTACACCCCATCCCATGCCTCAACGCTTCGCAGAGGCCCGCAGATTCGAAGACCGGCCGCCGCAATGCTCCTAAAGCCCTCACTACCCATCGCCTCCGACGCTGTTTTTCGGCTTCTCTCGAGGCCTGTGTTTGGGAGGCTTGGCAGCAGTTTGCCAAAAAGGCTATGGGAGCGCATTGCTCGGAGGCGGCCAGGTAGAGCCGAGGCGGCGATTTCGACATCTCTGCGCGCAGCCAAGGCAGCCTATTCCAACGAGCCTCCCGCGTCTTTCCCGACGCAGCTGCACACAATGCACCATGAGCCGAGCAACCAGACCTTCTACGCTTTGGGGAGCGACCAAGAGAAGTTCGAGATTTTTGTGGACGACTTTCTGGGCCGGGCAGGTGAAGAGGTCCATCTGCTGCCGCCATCTGCTGCTGCTGCTGCTGCTGTGAGGGAGGTTGATTTGGTCGATGAGGGTTTCGTCGACCAGGCGAGGGGCTGGTGGAAGACCGGCCGAATGCTAATCGGCGACTCGGAGGTGATGAGCTTTCTCTTCTCTCGCCAGACATTCAACAGGTCGTTCGAGTCGTTCCTTTCAACGTTCTGTGGCTTTGAGAACGAGCTGCGGGAGTGCACTAATGAGGACATTGTGCGGCACCTGACCCGCGACTATGACAGGAAGTCCATCGAGCGGCTGCAGCAGCATCAGCATCAGCACCGGTCGTCAAGCGAGGCGATCGAGGACGAGATCAAAAGGCTCTTGGCGTGGTTCAGGGAGACCTTCCCCTACTATCACGGGTTCTGCCCCGAGTGCACCAACCAGGACGGCTCGCCCAGGAGAGGGCGCTTCATCGGGGCCACCTTTGCTAATGAAGCTGAGAGGCGGCGGAATGCCTCGATAACGGAGATCTACCTGTGCGATGCGCGCAAAGACACGGACACTGACACATCTGGAGAGGAGTCGGAAGCTGACGAACTTGGTTCATCATCAGATGGGTGTCGTCGGGTGTATCGGTTTCCGCGCTATCGGGCATCAGCTCAGATTCTGCGGTCGAAACAGGGGAGGTGCGGAGAGTACTCTCGGTTGTTTCATCGCGTGCTCGAATCTCTTGGTTTTGCGAGTCGGTGGGTGATCGACTGGGACGACCATGTGTGGGTGGAGATGCTGCTGCTCGATAAATGGTGAGAATGAATCGACGGCACTGCAACACCGGCACACAGACCTCATGGCGTCGCTTTCCCCTGTCGCCTTGTATGTGTGTGTTTGTGTTTGTATGTGTGCAGGGTGCATATTGATCCGTGTGAGGCTGCGCTTGACGCGCCTCTCCTCTACGAGAGCTGGTCAGTTCAGTGCACACAGGAGAAAGAAATAAAGACAGCGAGCCCAGCCCGCATGATGGCTGCGCTGCCTGCTCTCTGCATATGCCTGTATGTTGTGTGTTGTGTGTGTGTGCAGGGGCAAGAGTCCCACGTATGTGTTCGCATTTGGCCGAGGAGGGGTGGAGGATGTCACGGAGAGATACACCAATGCCACCCGAGAGACTCTCTTGCAGCGACGGAGGGTACGCTCACGCCCCCCAATGCACACAAGGGTCGATGTGTCGCTGCTTTGGTGTGCCGGCTGTCCTTCCAGGTGTCTGAGTCGACGATTCATGCGCTGGTCGAGGACGCCTCACGGAGGGTCCGTGCTGTGTATGGCACTGCGGGAGGGGAGCAAGAGACTCCCGTGTCCGTGGATGCGCGTGCAGAGGTGCCGGTGACGGCGTGATGAGGGAGGGACAGAGAGCTAAGGGGGTGGACAGAGGAGGGCCTCGCGGGCCAGGCGATTGATGGTGTCAGTCAGTCAGATATGTGGCGCAGCCGGTGATGGCTAGACGTCTGTGTACGTGTATGTCTGCGAATGCATGTGTGTGTCTGTATATCTGTCTTATCTACACGTTGGCTGTGCTGCGTGCGTGTCGATCGGACTTTACCCATTTCATACGCCCATGCGTGTGTATGTGTGGGGTCAATGAAGGCTGTGTACAGTTATCTGTTGGCCGTTGATCGATTCATTCGCTGGTCGGTCGGTCTGTACTCCATATGAAGCGTCCATCGACGTGTGTCCATTCATCCGTCGATGCATCCACCAGCTATATATAGTCCCTCTCCCGCCCTCACACGCCACACATGCCGCCATAGACGCCCTCGCAAACCTCCACAATGCACACACCACACACATACACGTGTACAGCCGGCGCAGCACGAGCGATAACGGCGAGCGGTGTGTCACGCAGCGCTTGCATTCACTCGCAATGCCATCATGTCTCATGTGTCAAGACCCAGACGGATCAGATGCGCAAGCATACTTGGGAGATGTGTTGCTCTTTTCTGGGTTGAGACGCGTGTTGAGGGAATGACTGCATTCGTAAGGGCCGTGTGGGGTGTAGTGTGGTGTGATGTGATGTGATGTGTGTGGTGTGGTGTGGGGCGGGGGGACGCATTTCGCATGAGTATGAATTCGAATCGACGACACGCACGCACACGAGCCACACATACAGCACATGCAAGCACCGCTGTCCATCGTGCACATACATGTGTATGGATTGATGAGTTCGGTCGGTAGGGCTACGTCTGTGTGTCCCGCAGATGCACCGTGGCAGCGCTGCGCTATCTATCTACCTCTCCTCCGCCACTTCGTCGTGGCCGTCCTCCTCCACCCCCACCTGACACATTAATGCACAGCCATACACACATCCATCCATCCATCGACCGATGACCCGCACAATGAATCTGAAGCAGCCGGTCTAACTTGACCCCTCGCCACTCTCACCTTCAGCCGTCATCCGCTGGTGCTGCTACTGGCCGGCTATCGTCCCACTCGTCCTCCAACTCGCCATTCACATCTGCAGACCCACACAGAGGAGGCACACACATATCCGGCTGGACACGAGACACACCCCGCTCGCCCGCACCCCTCTTGCCTGTGTTGGTGGGATCCACCAGCGGCCCGCCATCGTCGTCGTCGTGATGCTGCACACTGGGGGGCGCTGGGGCGGCGGCAGCTTCTGAGGGGTCCGATCGCTTGGCCTCAGCCTCGAAGAACGCCCTGCATCAATGGGGAGAGAGCGAAATGGACAAGAGAGGGGTGGGTGTGATGAATATGTGGTTTGCTTACACACTTGAGTTCGCTTGGCCTCAGCCTCGAAGAACGCCCTGCATCAATGGGGAGAGAGCGAAATGGACAAGAGAGGGGTGGGTGTGATGAATATGTGGTTTGCTTACACACTTGAGTTTGCGTCTCTCCTTGGCCTCCTCGTCCGCCTGGATCTTCTTGATCTCACGCAGCAGCTTACTGCATCAGACAACACAAGCAGAGAGACAGACCATGAAATCGCCTTCCGTTGGCCCCCTTCGTCCCCTCTATGTCTGCCTCTCCTTCTGCAGACACCCACCTGAGTTCTGTGTCGTTGGGTGCGATGTCTAGTGCCCTGATGACGTCCCTCTTGGCCTCACCGAAGTCCTTGCACTCCAGATGGGCCCGCGCCCGGCGGTAGAGGGCCTTGACCAGGTGGGGGTCCACGGCCAGCACCTCCGTGCACCGGCAGATCGTCATGGCCTA